GCCATGATGGCAGAAGAGCTGAAGAAGGAGCAGGACACCAGTGCCCACCTGGAGAGGATGAAGAAGAACCTGGACCAGACAGTGAAGGACCTGCAGCACCGTCTGGAAGAGGCTGAGCAGCTGGCACTGAAGGGAGGGAAGAAACAACTTCAGAAGCTGGAGGCCAGGGTGTGTAGGGCTGGGGGTGTGCCTGAGTGAGCGTGTCCTTGCAGAGACATTGTCAGGGAAGCTGCAGGGATGGGTTTGTCCTTGCAGGTGCGGGAGCTGGAAGGGGAGGTTGATGCTGAGCAGAAGCGCAGCGCTGAAGCCGTGAAGGGCGTGCGCAAGTACGAGCGGAGGGTGAAGGAACTGACCTACCAGGTAAGGCAGGAGGGCTCCTGCTCTCACACGGTTTTCTCACAGCAAGGCACATTTTACACACACCATCCCCAAGGGGAATTGTTAAACTCATGTGATGCAGGATCAAGAATTGACTCTCTTTCCTGTTTGCCAAACATTCTAGTCTGAGGAAGACAGGAAGAATGTCCTGAGGCTGCAGGATCTGGTGGACAAGCTGCAAATGAAAGTGAAATCCTACAAGAGACAAGCTGAGGAGGCTGTAAGTATTGCTTGGAGAATGGGCAAAGGCCACATTCCGTTGGGGCAGAACACACATTGAATGAGGGTGAATACCTGGAGAGGGCTATGAAGGAAACTCCCAAGTCACAATTGTCTTAGGAATGTTCATTAAGGGAAGTGGTGCAGCCTGTTTCACACAGGAGGCCAGAATAAACAAATCCAGGGGCCACACCCACTGACTGACAAGTTCCTGAATCTCTACTAGTAATCAGCAGCAGAAGGCTTCAGGGTCTTCGCAGGCCACTAAGTCACACTGACAATTGGGCAGGAAGAAGTTGGAGGGTAACTCCAGGAATGATAAATCAAAGGGGTGAAATTGCTCCTCACGTGTGACACAGTCCTGGTGAAGCTTGTCCCAGTAGGATCCTGAAAAGGGGAGGATGAGGAGCTCTGTGTGAGGCTGATGTGTGAGCACTGGTGGGAGGGGGATGGAGAGTTGCAGCCCCATAAGGCTGACTTGCAGCAGGAGTGAAACCCTTGTCCTGTGCTCCTGAGCCCTGACTCCCTTTCCCCACACAGGAGGAGCTGTCCAATGTGAACCTCTCCAAGTTCCGCAAGATCCAGCACGAGCTGGAGGAAGCCGAGGAGCGGGCTGACATTGCAGAGTCACAGGTCAACAAGCTCCGAGTGAAGAGCCGGGACATTCATGGCAAGAAGATAGAAGAGGAAGAGTGAGGATGTCACGAGGCAGCAAAGTGACCTGAGGGATGCACAAAATGTGAACCCTCTATCACTCCCTTCTCTTTTCAATTTTTGTTTTTAACTGTTTTAATGTCTAGAGAATAAATCCCGTAGATTTGTTTGTGTGCATACCATGAGCAGTACTTTTCATTTCTTTCTTCTTTATATTGGTTAGACCTTTAGTACCAATTTTGGTACAGTTTTGTTCAGTTTTATCTTATAGTCTCTATGTACCTATGTCACAATGCAGCTTTTTGTCACCTAGTTCCTGACTACCTATCCCTTCTTTCTTTCTTAGTGACTAAGATGTGAATAGAAAAACACCATCACATGGAGAGGAATCAAGGTCAATAATTCCTGATTGTGCCTCCTGCAAGTTCTTCCTACTGGTGTACCCCAGACAATATCTTATATTATATTCACCCTTTTGGCACCTCAGCACTTTCCAGCTTGCAGTTGTCAGGTGTGAGATGCTCCTTTTGCTGGCCTCTGAGAGTGATTTATAGAGTGCTAATAACCTAAAGAGTTCATGTTTTTTTTCTGAAGCTGACAGAAGATAGTCTTTAGTCTCCACTATTTTTTCTTCTTGAATTTAATTAGAAGACCATGAAGAATATCACATCACCTGAATTTCTGCTGGAGGAGGTTGATGACAGTTCTGTGAGAATTCCTTTAGTTTCCATAAATTAGGTCAGTGTCTACAACAGCTGAGTTTCTGTCACACTACTTTCTGAAACTGTCTTGGGGAATTTTTCTTTCCTATTGAGAAAGACCAGCTGTTTGATATGGTGTTTTCCTTACTGCTGTTGTAGAAACTCAAAACCCCCACCAGGAGCTTCTTTCACATACCTATGACAAGAGAGATCAGTGCAGACAGTGAGCAGGGAAGAAACAGCTTGCAGTAGACCATCAGTGAAAGGAAAACACTTCATTAGTAGCTGTCATTTTCTCTCTAGACTAATGGTTTTCCGTTCAGTGTGCAAAAGAAGCAATAAAGAAGATGGACAATCAAATGGCAGATTCTGAGCCTGAGGAGAGATCCACATAAACTGACAATGAAGACTTGAGTGCAGGGGGAGAAAGTTACCATGCTCAGTTCCAGGTCCTGCCTCCTAGGGCAGAGTACACTGCTGCAGCTGGAGATTCTGAGTTCCCAGGGAGCACTGGACCAAGCATATGTAACACCTCCAGGGAAAGAACTGGTATGGGGAACTAAGGACAGGTGGTTTATGTCCTTCCAAAAGGAGCAGTCTGTTAAATTACAGTCAGCCTTTATATATGAAAAAACACACAAAACTTTGAGAGGATAGATTAGCATGTGGACAGAGAGAGATACAGTGGATATAATTGACTGGGATTTCCAAAAACTTTCAGCAAGGTATCCCAACAAAGTCTTTATAGATGTGATGAAACCATGGGACAAGAAGTAAGTAAGTAAGAAGGAAGCTTATCTTCTTACTTCTCTACTGCTCTACCAGGCAGAGATAGAATGAAAGTGAAGAGTTATGTGTGCTGTGTTCAATCTACTGATAAATCATCAAGCTGGATTGTTCAGTTGTTACACCAGTGGGAAGGAATGTCATCCAGTTAAAGAGCTGTCATGAGACTCCATCTGTAGTGCTGTATTCATCTCTGGGACCTCCCAAAAAAAAGGAAAATACGCCAGGTGGAGCAGATGCAGAGAAGAGCCACAAAAAGAGAACCAAGTCCTGGAATGTCTCTGCTATGAAGAAAGGCTTACTTAGTTGTGGCTGCTCAGCGTGGAGGTGAGAAGGCTCTGTGAAGACCATATTGCAGGTTTTCAATATATAAAGGCAGCTCATAAGAGGGGGAAAGACTTTTTACCTAGGCCTGTGGCCATAGGACAAGGAAAAAAGTTTTAAATTTAAAAGGGTAGATTCTAGTTGGATATAAAAGTGACACTTTTTAAAAAGAGGCCAGTGAGACAGAGCAACAGACTCACCCCAGAATATGGAAATGTCCCATCAATGGAAGTGTCCAAGCTGAGATTGAGTGGGGCTTGGAGCAACCTGATCTAGTCAAAGATATTCCTGCCCACAGCAGTAGTGTTGCACTTCTTTTAAGGCTCCTTCCAGCCCAAACCAT